CACTAATATTAAGTAAAATTCAATTAAAATATATTTTAGTGATAGAAATTAGTGTCATAAATGTATTCTAATTTCTTCCTTTTTAATTAAGCATTGAATTCAATATTTTCTTTATTTTTTAAATTAAATTGTGTTCTCTAACGGTAAATGACATAATTGTACATAAAACGTATCCTTACATTAAAATTTTACTGTATATGGTCGCAATAAAAATTTTATTTTATTGCACACAAATTTATTTCATACTGCAACATAAATTTTATAACTACAATAAAAATTTCATTGGATACAATAATTTAGGTTCTTAAATTTATCACAAAATAATTTTAACACTACCCATATTTTCTTTTTGATTTATTGCATTATTACTTAGATGTGATTGTCTCAGTAGAAGACATGTTTGACCCAGTATACGTCACCCAAGTTTATTTATAAAATTTTATACTAATCCCAGGAAGATCGTTCAGACAAGCATTCACGATTCATCATATTTGACAGGATTGATGTTTTGTTTGAAATGAAAAAAAAAGATAAACAGATGGAAAATTGTAGCAACGTTCGATCGTGTTACAGCATAAGTAGCGCGTATTAAACCATGAAATTGAACTTACTGTTTGCACGAGTTTCCCGATAAACTGATGGACTATCCCTTGCTAAACCCCCAAGGGTAAAACGGTAGACTATGGGGTAAACTATGGGACCTTTCAACAGGCAATTAACACAGCAATATACCTACGAGTTCGGTGCTACCAGTAATTCTCTAAAGTATCACACCGGGATACGGGGACAATTAAGTTAGAATAATTTACGTATTCTTTCTAAACATATGGGCTGTCGTTCGGTAGTAAACAATTAATACAATACACCAAAAATAGGGTGGAGGTAACCGTGCACGTTTTTTAAGGGGTGAACAAAGTATACAGGTGCCCAAGAAACTTTTCATACAAAATGCAAATAGTATATCTTTCATGTTCATCAGTTTTTAAATTACTGTACATATTATTTTAGCTTCTTTAGATTTCGAAGTAAATTTTGATTTTCAGAAATCATTGAACCTTTTAAATAAATTTTGATTTTCGAAAATTATGAGAACTTTTAGAGAAATTTTGAGGTAACGCAGTTTGGTAGAATTTGTCACGAGAAATTTAATTATGAAAATATTTTATTTCTGTGAAATATTTCAAAATTATTTTCATTTATATATATTATTTTAAATGTAAAATATTTTACAGAAATATTGGAACTGGTAATAAGAACTGATAAATATTAATAAAAATATTGCATAAAAGTTGTTTTGCTTTGTTTAAATTTTTAGATGAATTTTAAGATAATTTGAACAAATATTATAGTAACGATATTTAATTGCAGGATAACTCGGAGCTATTTTTAATAGAATAATTTATTATTCGTTCAGTAGTGATTTATACTAATTTCATTTGTGAATTAAGTTTCAAGGGCGACTATGATTTTCGGTAATCATCGTGAGATAATATTGTGAAATAGGGTAATTATCTAAACATTAACGTCACACAAGCCGCAGAAGGGTTTAGAAAGGAACGTTTAAAGAAATAAACAAATTCGACACGAATGAAAATCGAATTAGCCAGTTTCCCATTTCAATATTTTCCTGCTGAATTTTCCTCACCTTTCGTTCTGACGCGATTCTGCATTTATATCATATATTAAAATAATTAATATTCAAGTTCTATGTCATTATAATAATTAAGATTCAGCTTCACATTTGAAGCTTTATTGATTTCGTATTTATTGTCAAATACGTTTCAAATTTTGTCCGTATTATTGCGAAACTGTATTAATTAATATAATGGAAATAAATTAAATTTAACGTACTTTAACATATTAGTCAACTTAACGCACTTTATTTTTAGACAATTTTGCTTTATATAAATTTTATTTCTTTAAAAACTTCATTTTTTATCAATTTCATTCCTGAAACATTTTACTTATTAATAATTTTACTCTTGAAAACATTTCTTCATTGACAATTTTATTTTATAAGAACTTCATTTCCTATAACTTCATTTTTTAACAATTTTATTATTTAATGCCTTTATTTTTTAACAACTTTGTTCTTTAAAGAATTTTTGATTGTAGCAATTCATTCTGTATTTTCTTTCTTAACAATGATGTACTGTTAAGTATTTTCTTTCTTTAAGAATTCTATTTATTAACAATTTAGTTCGTCAAGATTTTTATTCTTTCAAAGCATGAAACGCAGGTGTTCGAATATTTTTAACACAAAGAAATTTAAATATCAGATTTTCGCGAACAGTTTAATCAGTTCAAACAATTTGATCAAATTAGACTTCAAAGGAATGTTTAAAAGAAAAGTGCATGCAATTTTGATCGATCTTCCAATTTCCTAGCAAATTATCACGGAAGGATTTGAAAGCGTTCCTTTCGAAACGTAGTTGCTTATTATACGACGGAAACATGATAATTGGGCTTAATTAAAGCGAGAGCACGCGTTGTTAATTAATGCAAGAATTGCTTGCATCACTGTTGCTCGCTGTAGTTGCATTCCGATTGTTTGCTGAAAGATTTTGGTATTTCAATCATCCCTTTAAAATGGTGGAGAATTAACAGTGATAATATCATGAAAATGTTCCTCTTTCATACATGTTAAAACAAAAATTTTACATTTGTTTATTTCTCAAATATTAAAATACAAATTTAATATTTGTACATCTCTCAAATCTTAAAACATAAATTTCATATTTACATATTTTGCAAATGTTATAACACTAATTTAATATTTATATATTTCCCAAATATTAAAATGCAAAATTAACATTTATATATCGCCCAAATATCAAAACAGAAATTTAATGTTTGTATATCTCTGACATATTCAAACACAAAATTGACATTTGTATAGCTTTCAAGTTTTAAAAATAGACTTTAATAAATCTAATAATTTTTGATATTGTAAAATTGACATTAATGTACTTCCTAAATTAAAAGAAAATCGCCATTTATGTACCTCTGAAATACCAAAAAAGCATATTTTAAAAATGAAAATAATTTTTAAAATTATTTGCAAAAATTAAATAGTGTTTATCTCTCATGTGAAAATGATTCATGATTCGTTCCTCGGTTTAATCAAATTTTTTATTCGATTACAGTCGGAAATCTAGAAGTTCGCCGACCCAGAAATGGCGACTCGACTCACCACTCGGACGAAAATTAAATTTCTTTACGTGGTTGGATTCGCGGGAAAGTTAAAGGCAGGAAGCCTACTTTGCTTCTCCTTTGCGTTTATGAAAAATGTAACATTTTTTAGCCGATAAACAAGATTCATCCCCGTGGCGGTTAATTCGAAATATCTGCAGGGAAGAATGCAATTTACGTTTGTTGGACTCTGGTAATTCGAGCAAAAACTAGTCGAACATAAAGTGTGAAAAGAACACGCGAGTAGAGATTAATCGATGCTTCAAATGTACCTGAGGATAAATTATGTTGTTTCTTTTTCAAGCTTCAATCCATTAACTTTTTTAAGTACGTGTACAGTGAATTAAAAAGTATAATTATCCGTTACTGCTTTATTCGAATAACCTGGCATATTGGGACGTTTAAGAACTTAACCATTAAAAAACTTGCAAAGAAACTATTCATTATTTTTACTTGAAAAAAAAATTATTAATAATCTTTAAAAATTCATTATAATATTCTGTAAATGTTACGGAATTTCATTTTAAGTGATATTATTATATTATATTTTTATATTTTAGTAAATTTATTTTATTTTATTTATATTTTATGAATATTATACAGTATACAAAATATATTTTGTAAATATTATAGAAACATTATGTAAACATGTAAATATATTCTGTTCTATCATTTTCCTTAATATTGTAAGAATGTAACAGAATATTACGAAATATGAATTTTAAAATAAATAAAATTTGATTCATAAGTTTAAAAATATTAACAGTTCAGCTAATTGCAATAAATATATTAATAACTTATTTAATTAAGAAAAAACTGGCTCAGTTAATCAATACAGAAACGCTAATAATATATTTAATTAGTTCGTAAGTATTAAGAGCTCAACGAATTAAAATAGAGATATTAAAAGTTCATTTAACTCGTTTAACTTATAACTTATTTAAATAGATTAAAATATTACTAGCTCAAGTGGTATCAATAATATAAATTATTTTTGAAATATTAATACATTAATGAATCAATATAAAAATGTTACTAATTTATTCGATCAGTAATGTTAAAAAATCGATTAGCATTACTAATTTATTTAATCAACATAATGTCACTAGTTTATTCAACGAACATAAAATAAAATAAACACAAAGTTACGAATTCGTTTCTCAGAGATGCCAGTTAGTTTAAAAATACACGAGTCAGTAAAAAAATATTTGACTTTCGGATTATGAAAGAAAATTGGTAAGAAACAGTTTCGCGAATGTTGAAAGTATCAGAACGAAAAGCGAGGAGGCGAAAGCAGGGCGCGTTAAAGCGACGAGTAAAATCGTTTCCCGGCTCCAAGTAACCGTGTAATCGCCATCCCCATGGCGTCCCGTACCTCTTCTGTTACCTTCCAGGCCGAAGAATACTTTCGAGCCAAGCAAGTCGATATAACGTCGACCATTTCGACCACCCAAGTCGTCGAGAGATCGTCCTTCACCCCCCTTAGGCGTCGTTACTCGAAAGTGGATCTCGAGAATTCAACAAGCAACCTCAAATAACAAAATCTCTCTAGTCTGAACGATCTTCGAGGTTTTTACCCATCCCATATCATTTTTTTCTCTCTCACGTTTCTCCTTTCTTCTTCTTTTTTCGTTTTTCTCATCAAGGGACGCTGCTGCCTCAAGGTGAATGCTTAACGACAGACACACAAACAGATCCATGGACGTGTGTACACATGTATTTACAGGACACGAAAACGAACAAAGAGACTATGACATACATTTGCCAGGGATAGAATGCGTAATTATCATGGGGATAATTATAGGTACCTATTAAGGGAACTGCGTCCGAGGTCGTCGGCATGCTTTCTGCCACGAGGTTCAGGAAAACTGTCAGCGACAGCAGAATCGTCACTCCTGCGGTGGTCGAAAAATGTTTACACCATCGCTCAAAAATATTCGTCCCTGGTTTTTTAACCCTCGAACCACGGATATAATTTTTATTCATTAAATAGCTTTCTAATTCATTATAGCAATTTCATTTGATAGCTTTTTATTTGCAACTTCAAATTGAGGGGTTTATCGAAAAAGACACGTCATGATATCGTAAAGTTATATGAAAACAATTTTTTTTTTATTATTTCGGTGTTGGATGGTAAAAGAAATTAATAGTTTACATGTGACGCGTGCTATTTTTTCTTCGAACCCTTCAATTCTAAATTACATTCTTTACATTTTCCATAATAAATGGAAGTTCAATCCTTATCTGAATCAGGTGGAGAATGACTTAAATTTCTAATTTTTTGATTCATTTAATTCCTTGCGAATAACAAATTTTTATTTTAAAATTAGTGGCGAATTTTTATTTACTTTCATTATGAATTTTAACCTAATTGTAAGTATAATCCAATAGATAATTATTTGAATAATAATTAGGATTTTTGGAGAATTATTTCAGGAGTAGATTTTGCTGTATTCGTATAATTTGATAGCCTAATGTTAGTCGAAACATTATTTTATTTACTTTTCGAGTTTGGATTACAATTGACCCAGTATCCGCTGTTCGAGGGTTAATTGCAAATTAATGAGAATCTGATTTCTTTGATGTTACGTTCATGACAAAGTAGTGATTGCAACATTTTCGTAACAAATTGATATTCACTTAAAAGTTTTGGTTAGGTAATATACTTATTGTCAGACAAAATATCGAATGAATTATAAAATTGATTACTGTTTAATTGATTTTGTTATGCAATATATAGAATAAAATGTGGGTGAAGTATGAAAAATAATGCTTGAAAATTAATATACACTATATTCAAAAAATCCGATATGATAGCCTCAATTCCAAAATACCATGTGTTTTTTATTACAAATTAATATTTCTTTATACAATATGTAGGATAAAATATGGTACGAATTATAAAAACGTTTGTTCTCTTTATCAAAAATTTATATCCATAACATTGAACAAATTTAATTTGATACAAATTATTTAAAATACTGTGTAAATTGAGTAAACAGTTATTCGTTTAATTAATTCAATGATATAATACTTTAAGTAAATAAAAATAATTTTACATTGGCAATAATGATGAATTGTAAAAATAATGTGCTAATTAGTGATATTTGTGACACTAGGTAAATTATAAAATAGAATTAATTGTTTTCATACCACAAATTGATATTAGTTTATATAATTTGGTGCTGTAATATTTATATAAAACATCGGGTATAATATTAGCTGTCTTCATTAAAAATTAACAGTGGTTTAAATAATACATCATACTTGATACTACTCGATTATAATAATTTGCCTGCTTATTTGAAACAAAGGTCCACGTAAATAATATAATGAATTTATCTCATAGTATTCAGAATTCACTAAAAGCACATAGTTCCTCTCAAAATAAATTATTAACAATTACATAATATTCTATTTTGAAGTAATAATAAATTACCCAATACTTGTATTTTCTTTTCAACAACTCCCATTAAAAAGTTTCAATTGTACCATCAAAAATTAAGACTATCATATCGAATAATAAAATGATCTTAGCCCTTGAAAACTAAAGCAAATTTAAAATTTGCAAAAAATCTTTCAACATCATTTTTATAATTTTGTTTGATTCTTCATTCCAAGTTAATTCGTTTAAAATTAAACAAATTGCACAAGCTGATCTGATATGATTTTCATAACATCGATTCATTTCAACAGAACAGGTGGACAGTTATTTTTGAGCGATAATGTGCGGATGAAAATGAATTATTTGAAAACAAACTTCTTCAGAGTAACGCCTGCATTTTATCCTGTATAAAAACTAGGACAAGCTGCGGACACGTTTCGATAAAAATCGCATTTCTCACAAATTCCTGGATAATACTGTCCTCGGTTGGTTAGATCTTATCCTGTTTGAGGGTATACCGCATTCGGTTCTGAGGAGTTTCAGAGTTTCGAGAAGAAATCCTATCGAGTTTTGGGAAGAACTTGAAGTATACGTTGGCCGAGTTCAATGAACGTTTGAACAGTTCGATTGTTTTCGAAAACGAGTTCCTGGACGAGTCTTGTAAACTTCGCTGTTTGAATCTGAGAACTGATACCAAGTTGAATTTCTTCCAACTCTAGCAAAACGTACACAATTGTTTAATTTCGTCGAGGATTGTTTACGTCAAAATTTTTTTCATGAAGTTCGAAAAATATAAAGCAGATTTACAACCATAATTTCATACGAAAGTAAAATTAATGGTCTCATAATATAATGTCAAGGTTTCCATTTGTACAAGATTTTTTATGATTTTTTTCATATAAAATAAATTAATATTTTATCATCTCATAATTTTTGATTTTCAAAAACACGAATTGATTTCCAATATTGTGTATAATTAAGTCACTTAAAACAACTAACTAATCAAATTATTTTACACTTCATAAATTTCTATATAAAACGCAATTTATTCTGTAATCAAAGTAAAATAGAGTGCAAATTACCTTCTGATAATTAATTTCTCTGAACTGAGAAATATACGAATGATTTCCTTAACACAAAGCGGAGAATATAATCGTTAATTACATATTAAATTGGAATATGACGTATGGCACATCAAAAGGTTAACACATGGTATATCGGTGCACCAAAGATTTCGTAATTTCCGGTGCAAGCCTACACGATTTCGTGACCATAATCGCACGCGTCAACGAGTATTTCAAGCCGCGTAACTCGTTGGGAAGCCATGCTGCAAACACAGACTCAGCTCACTCGTTAATAACTTTACGCGGTGCGGTTAACGTGTCTGGAATTGCATTATTACATAATAATCGACGTCATTTACGAACCAACCTCTAGAATTTGTGTGTTCAGTTAAGTTGAATTTTCCATTAATTTCAAAAGTTAACATTCACAACTTATACTTTCAATATTTCCAAATATAAACAAAGTACATTTAAATCGTTACAGGATCAAGTTGGGTTGAACTTCACTTTGGTGCACACAAAGATATTTTACTATTCAATATTTTTTTATAGAAATGCAAGTTCTAATGTTAGGAATCCAACGGCTAGAAAATTATGCATGTGTTAAATTCAGCATTTTTAGCTTATTTAACACGTGAGCGTGACAAGACATTTTATCTATAATTTGATTGAGCTTTATGAATGCATAGTAATTCCATAATGCCGTTTATTTAAGAAAAAGACAATATCTGTTGACAACCAGTGATCGGAAAAACATGTTTTACCGTTGGCATTCTCTACCTAACCGACGGAGCAAAAGCCAATATGGCGTCGCAGTAATCAAATACGCGAAAAGCTCTTGAATTAACACGCGTATAACTCTTTAATCACTGGATTTCTAAAACTTGTATTTTTGTATTCTGAGCATCAAAACAATTAAATAGGAGAAAAAATGAATAATTTTGTACTCTGCAAAGTAGAGTTTTGCCTCAAGTTGTCGCACTTGTAATAAATACTGCAATTGATCCACGTTTTTAGTTAAACATTCATTAAATTCTTTTATTACTTCTCACCCTGCAGTATCATTAATACCTTGCAAACTTTTCAATATTTCTTGACGATTCTCCTATCATTTCAAATTCATAAATGAGGATGTAAATTGAGGAAATCACGTGGATTCGAACTGTTCAAATAAAATTAATGGTCTTTTTGTCGTAAAGTCATTAAGATCTTTTGCAGATGAATATTGGCGTCAATATCAAAACTTTGAATAATCAAGTTTGCTATTTTCGAACATTATTTTTAATTAACCTTAGTTATTGTTTATTGATTTTTCAACTATGTAAATATGGTTGAATAAACTGATTGATGTAACATCTAATTTTATATAATTTTATTGTAACGTCAACCGTAATCGTTTAAACTGTAATTAAAGGCCGATGTGATAAAAATTCAATATATCAAAATAAAATTGTTCTGACTTTTCAAATTTTAATTTTCTTGCTGAAATTTTGAAAGTGTTCTTTTTACACCGTATACTAAATTATTAGAGGGTGATTTTCTAAGCGGCCCTAGTATACAAATTACAATTTTTATACTATTTTTGCCTTTAATCTGACAGACCGGTAGAATGTTATTTATTACATACTTCTTGAAAGTATATAGGATTATTATATAATTAAATCCCTTTTTCAGTTAATATTTTACATTAAATTTGTTCGCAACTAATATTTTCATACTAACTGCTTTTGGAATTAATTTTTTTATACTAAACGATCTTGGAAGTAATATTTTTGTACAAACCGATTTTATAATTAATATTTACATACTAAACTGATTTTCAGATTAATATTCTTGTACAAAGCGATTTTACAACTAATATTTTCATACTAAACGATTTTCAGATTAATATTCTTGTACAAAGCGATTTTACAACTAATATTTTCATACTAATCGATTTTCAGATTAATATTCTTGTACAAAACGATTTTATAGTTAATATTTTTGTACTAAAAAGTGATTTCAAGTTTTTGATGTAAATTTCGCTCGTTAAACGAGAACCTGTCGATTTACATGTTTGGTATTTCACGAGCAATTGTTTCTGATTGACTCGAAATTGAAGATGCATGGGAGTTAGAATGTCGGAGCAAATGGCGTCCATTATCAGAGAATTCACACGGGAGAAGATAAACATTAGTTGGTTGTCCACGTTCAACAAATATCGCGGTTATCGTGCCAGCACACGAACATCGCTATACTACGTAAATTTACATAATTTCCATGGTGGAGAACTTAGAAAGCGGATTAACACGTTTCAGGTTATAGCATTTTGAATGTGAATAAATACTTAAATTTCCAGCACGCTTAATGCACAAATTCGAGAACGCTATTTAACTACTAGCAATGTTTATCGGTAAATTAGTTTCCATATTTCCATATTTCCGAAACATCGATTTCACGTAATTTC